AACTTTTTATGGCCGAGTTGATTTGTGGCCGAGTTGACTTGTGGCCGAGTTGACTGTGGCCGAGTTGACTTGTGGCCGAGTTGACCTGTACCCCATTTAAACACGTATAGTATAGCTATTATTACAGTACCGTAATATGGTTTATTTCATTGACGTAACCAAGCAATCTAATTTCTTAATATTTGATTTCAAAATATTGAAAAAATATAATGAATTGTAAAATTGAAACGTTAAATTATTATTTTATTTTATTAATCTTGACATGCATTAATTATATTTCATTATATGTTATGCTTATTGAGGATCAATCAGAAAACCAATTTCGGTTTATTTGATCCTCCTTCCTTTTGTTACATTATCCCATGTTCTGCTTATCACTTTGATCACTTTTTTTCTTGTAGTTTTTCCCCTAATATTGTTTCCCTTGAAGTGAATTTTCTGTAAATTGTTTTATGTTCAGAAGGAAAAATAAACTTTGATTTGATTTGATTTCTTTGTCCTATATCTTACGAAATGCGATAGATTAGCCTAGATTTTTAATTGTCCAGTGATCCAATAGTGCATTTACTAGTCCAGTTTCCAATAGTGCATGGCACCTATTTAAAATGTTAGTTTATTTTCATCAATTATATATTCATCAGATCTTATTTTGATAAGCAACGACATGCAATGTACTGTATTATCTTCATCATTGTCTAAATTCTGATTATATTTGTACTTTTTGACGTTGATTTTGTTAGTATTAGATTTAATTTCATTTCATTTATCTCTTCCCAATCACAAAGCAAAACTATAAGTACAAGAAAAAGGGTGGAGGAGGTAAACAACAGTGAAAGAGAGGATTCCATAAAGTGAACTAAATCACAATGTAAGTTGGTCTTCCAAAACACTGTGTCCAAAAAGACAATTTACAAAAAAGACAATAAAATGTTAATAATAATATATTTTCTTTAGAATAATAGTAAAACAACATTTAGCATATAAAATATGGAATTTAAATACACTATGAAAATTTATGTAAAACGGTATAAAAATATAGTCTCACCTTACCAACCAGTATTGGCAAAAGTGGGGAGGATGAGAAATTCAATTCAATTTAAAAAGACACTTATTTTCTTCCAATTGCAATCAAATAGTAAAAAACAAAAATTATTATTTAACAATGGGATAATAAGACAAAATCAAAAGGAAGAAGGCACTTGCCCAACAAGATTTGTAAAAAAAAAATCTTGTGTTGGGCAGGCCACACAAACTCACAAAAACACACAGAGAAACAAACAAACAAATAAACACACAAGACATACACACACACAAGCATGACAACACAACAGAACATGCGATTCATGGTGCAGCAAGTCGAATACGTCGCGATCGTTGAAAACAAAACAATGTTTGTATTGCGAAACCAGGTGATTCCCTGAGTATTTTGGTAAAGGACCTTCATGGGTTTAAAATTGGGGTGGTAAATTATTCCATTGTATCTAATACAGTATTGTGTTCAAAATAGTTGGTGTTTAATTAGGTATGTGAATATCATTTCTTGATCGAGTACGATAATTGTGAATTGAGTGTTAGAGGGTAAAACCTTTAATTAGATGACTGTTGAGTTTGAGAAGGTTTTCTTTAGCTCTCCAAGAATGTAGACAAGTTTGTTTTCTCTTGATAATTTGGAGAGGACAGTGTCAAGTTCATCAGTAAATTGAAAAGATTCAAGGCAGGGGATCTATACACGGTTCCGACGACAATGTTATTGGAATGGGGTCTTGTAATCTCAATAAAAATTGATTCACAATTAGGGGTGAAGACAAAGATCATGCATGTTAGTAGAAATTTGGAGACTATCATGAATACACATGGCTACTCCATCACCATCGTTGTATTCTATGGTGGGAGAAAAAATTATAATTGGGGAGCTGTACCAGGGGATTATCATAATTATTTGATTCAAGTTTCACTCCAAATATATCAAAGGGTACGTTTGGGCGATGTCAATAATTGTTTCATTTGATCAAACATTTTTTTTTAATGCTTCTAGAATTAAAAGGAATGGTAACGAATTTCATTTGAGGTGTTATGACAGGGAACTCATCAGAATCATAATATTCTGAGATGCTTTGCTTATTAGGGGGAAAAAATGAGAATCGGAATCAATTTTGGAGAAAGAAATTATATGAATTGTTTATGAAGGTGGGGAAACATGAATAATCGGTCGGGACTCGGGGTACTGTTAAAACTTAACAACAATTAAGTAAAGTATGCAATTAACATTTGACATAATAATACATACAAGTGAATAAAACAAAAAAAATCTGAAATATACAATATAAATACAAAAGTAAAAAATCAAGGAAGTCAGAAGGACTAAAGGATGTGGAATAAAAAAAAGCTCAAAAAAAATTGCATGAACAGTTTAACAGATTATTGTGGGAGACCTAAATCAAAATAAATAAATGATGTCAAAATGGTGTCAAAAATATAATAAAAAAATAATAATGATAATAAATAAATAGTTACGACAATTAAATAAAAACAACCATAAATTTAAAGCAATATTATATTAAATTAGGTCTCGGAGATCTTACTTTAAAACATGTTATAGTTTCTTTTTCTGTTTAGTGTTCAAATTCTGTATTAAAAAATAAGGTTCAAGAAAGTACTAGCCCAATCAACGTTGCTTAGAGGTTTTCTGCTTAACTGACTTAACCCCTGTTTTACTGTCCGCGGTATAAGCAAAGAATGCATCTCACAATATTTTTGTACCATTGTAGTAAATTTGACTCCGGTGTTACTTACCTGTGATTTTTCACTGGGATGGGGGATGAAATCCCAGCATCTGCAACCAGGGGTGGCACAAGCGGGGGGAGGGGGGGTGGCACCAGCGGGGTTCCAGTGGAGTTCCCCCACCCCCGTCGGTGAGAAAAAGCACAATTTGTCAGGGAGAAAATAAAATTATATGAATTTTCTACATAGGCCTATTAGTAGACTCTAAAATCAACTAAATAAGCCTTTGAACTTCCCTAAATTGTCAAAATTCCCCCCGTCGGGCAAATCCTGGTTTCTCCCGTCTGCATAAAAATTCCTAGAGTGACCGATGAGATGCCCGGTTGTAAAGCATAATATTGAATACTGCTACGTCTTTAACTAGGCCTATATAAGTTTAGAAAGACCTTTGCAAATGCAACTTTATCGTCACTTTATAATAAGCATTATTTTTATAGGCTTATTTTATTTTAAAATATAGGCCTACCTGTCAGCCGCACTCAATATTTTAAAATAAACGTGTTTTTATCAGCCCCACTCACTGAAGTGGCACCCTTCCACGTGTAACTGTCTATATACTGTACTTTGCTTCTTCCACTGCACGTGCACTAACGTTTTGAAATGAATTCTCACGTGTTGTTTTGTAGCGTGGTAATACCTCGACCAAGTTTATACAGATTCGTGTTGAGGTGTAAAATTATTTTTTACGATATTTTAACGGACAAAAATAGGAACTCAAATGCCAATAATGGTAAGGCACCTAAAAGAATGGTGCTACGATATATTTCTTTCTTGAGTCCTTACTCAAACTATTTAAGATGATTGTTACGTCTTATTTTATAGTAATCATCGTATTTTATAATACGTTCGTAAGTTGAATCGTATACAACAGAAAAATACAAAATACGACGCAACAAACGACGTTTAAGGTTTCTGAATCCCCGAGGCCCAGCCCTCATCTCCGTTCACCCCATGGTGTAAACAAAAAATTGATGGCTGACCCTCAGACAGTCGTTCCTTATTTGGAAAGTAATATCGTCAGTGACTTGGGTGGCTGAAAATATAATCGTATATGGCATTACTTATATGCCATTGCAAACATTAGGACACTTACAGCTTCTAAAGTCCGGCGCCTTTTCGCAAACCAAATAAACAATGTAAACTACAAGAAGATAACCTGAGACTGCAAAATTCCCTTTTGCGCCATATGTACTGAAAAATATAATGACCGGCCTGTTGCGCTATGAGACCCGCGTTCGATCCACTCGAGTTGACTCAACCCAGCATCAGCCTCGCGTGGCAAGCCCATCAATCGGGCAAATTTTTGCACGTCCGTCGGGCCTTCCAGAATTTGACACAACCCCTACTCTGGCCTGCAGTCGATCCGCTTGATTCGGCTCAGCATGGCCAAATGATCAGCACCAAATTTGAGGAAGACCGAGATACATGTAACATCGTCAATGTGTACAAATTTAAAGTAAATCGGTTCAGTAGTTTTTCAGTTATGCAGCCCCACGTGGTTGGGGCTGAGGTAAGAAAATTTATGATTATGGAACCTCTAGATGGCTAGAAATGGCACTCACAAATTTCTCCATTAAAAAGAAAAAGGGTTGCCAAATTTTGGGCGGCACCGGGCCGACATGCCCCCACCCCTTTTTAATCCGGCACCGATAAAGGCCTAATATGATGTCCTACAGTCAATGTCAGAGATATATTATGTTACGTAATTTGGGTCAGGGTGCTAGATCGAGGACCCTATGAATGGACCCTTTGGGACCCCTCGATGTCGGGAGCCCTGCGGACCGCTGCACGATAGCGCATAATAGGCGTTACGCCACTGCTTATAATTATGGGTTGCATTATTTACGTCCTCACACAGTGGAGCAGTATTATTAACTTGGAGACTCCTCTAGCAAATACTGGCAGCAAAGGAAATTACAGTCAATACAGTAAACATAAAACCAGAGTTACTCTGTGAGGCCAGGTGAACAATATATGTACCGTAAAACCATGGGTTACTATTCTTCGACTTTTTTAGGGTGGGTTACTATGAGTAGGATATAGGTTACCGTACTATTAGAATACTCGGTTATTACTACAAAGCATTGTTTGTTGGCCACATTTTTTCCGCGGCCATTCTTCCAGGGGCCATTTTTTCCGTACACCCGCGCACAAGGCAAATACATCTGTCAGATTTGTTTGCTCATAGTCAACGAACACATATACATAATACAAATGACTACATAAAATGCCCCAAGCAATTTTTATTTTTTCACCTTGGGTCGTGCAATACTAGACTACGCGAATATCAAACTCTTGAACTCAAGGGAGAGACAGGCATGTTTTGAACTATCAAGACAAGATAGCATGGAACATCTCCAACATCAAACAGCTACCGTGATACCACGATAAAACACCAAATTATATTAGATTTTGGGTCCAGACAATTCTTAGGATTTGGGAATCTTGGGTGTTGTGAGCCCAAATCGAAGTGACTGGATGAGACCTTGGCAGTGGGTTTGAATCCCACTTTTTGTTTTGGTTCCACTATCTTTGGGATAAGGCATCTCAAGGAGTCAAGTGAGGCCTGCAACTGGTTTGCTCATGTGAACTGTAGTCGATGTTGGAGATGTTTATGTCTTTGGTATAAAATATGCTTCTCTCCCCTTTTGCCCGCTCAACACAGTACAGTAATTTTATACTATTGTTCTACTTAATAATCTTAAAAACAGTAAAGTAATTTAAACATGTGATGAAACCTTAAGCTATACTCTTAACATCATTTGCAAGCAAAATATGATTAAAATAGTTCAAAATCAGAAGTATAGTTTCAGTCATACACCAAATATCAATATCCACAATATAGATGGTTAAAAATCATAAGAACTGTTAAGGAATCAAACAAAAAAATCAATCAATAAAGTTTTGTTCTCCCGTGAGCAAAGATGTTTGGTATGTTCAATGTTACATCTGTCAAGTCAAGTACAGTTAGGCCTAATAGATGGGGCTCGAGAATGTTTGCAAGAATAACACTTGAATAAATACAGTATGCCTATGTACTACCGTCAAAAAAAGATGGACTTTAATGAAGTATAATAATTACAACCAAAGCGAGACCAAACATGATATCAATCACATCACATCAAAGACATCACAGACACAAAATATAGCTTATTACACGAATAACATTCAATTTCGAGCGTGCGGCGTAACCTTTCAGTTCGAATCTAGCTCCATATTGCTTAACAAATTAGAGTAGTTGTCGGATACAATGTTTATGCCTAAATGTTTGTAGGACTGACATTAAAATGTAACATTAGTATTAGTATAATCCTCACTATTTTAGATAATTGTCGTTCCATTTTTCTTTATCAAGACGCGTCTAAAGGACGGATCAAGTCGAACAATAGAATGACATACAGTATCTGATAGTGAGGATGGAATTCCTTAAAATAACAAGTTTGTGGATGCCTGTTGACGCCTGTTACCTGAGGACTTGCACTAGTTTCTACATACTATGTATTATATCAATGAATGAAAACCGTATCTATCAACAGTGCGAACAAAATAATGGTGAAAGCTTGTTATTACTACAATATGCCTATACCGAAAAACTTAAGACAGTGCCCAATTGGTGACTGTACCCATGCTTTAATTTAACCCACCTAAAAAGTCAATCGAATAATAATGACCCAATAATCTAATCATGGACCTGTTCATGCTGCAACTTACCCAGTGGATTTACTACTGCAATGTCAAACCTTATACATTACACTATATGCCTGCAAATAACAGTTAGGCCTATAGTTTTGTTTGTTTGTTTTTTTTTTTTAAACAATATGTAAAACAATGTTATAGTTGCAGAATAAATATTTTGAATGTAATTTTGAAATCCGCCCCTGGACTACACACTGTTTCAATAACACCGAAATTGACTTCATGAGGGAGGTGGCAATGGAACTTTCGGGATTGTCAATCAAACTGACAAATCAGAAGCGGGCCAGTAATACGCGCTTGTCACAACACCTGTTTGTCCAACAAACGCAGGTTTACACTATCGTTTTGTGGGAACTTGGCAACAATATCCCAGGGGCTGGATTAGCGGAACAATCCACAATCATCATGGATAAAGCGAGATTGAAGATGAGTACTTTAGTAAAGCTAAAGTTTTTGAGTAGCCATATTAATCAGTAAATATAATAAAAGAAATTATTATTTTCTATATAACAATAATATTTATTTTACGAGTTTTCGTTGAAGCTTAACCAGGTCACTAAGGCTAATAAAGCCTTATCGATTTGGAGAGGAGCTCGTAAAATAAATTTGAAGTTCGATCATGTAAGTGCTCCCAAATAATTTCTTGTATTTACTGACACATCACCGGATGAAGCCTCATCGAAGGGCTAAAAGCTCACAAAAATAAACATTGTTATTAATATTCGTAAAACTGCTCATCGTTTACTAATGGTAAAGCTGCAGATCATAATAAATGCATTGATAAATAATAAAAGTAAACTTCTTTATACAGATATTATATGCTAGCTTATCTATGTACAGTATATAACTATATTAGTAATTAGGCCTATATATTCTAATTTTCGTATCTTGCATCTAAGATTTTTTACGTTAGTAATTACTCTATTTGTAACATTCTTATTTGTAGCCTAATTGTAATTAAATCTTTGTTTATTCTGATTGCAATAACAATTATTTGTTGAATAGGGACTTATTCACTTACTAAATAATCAAACATAATCTTAATTACTGAATGGTTATATAAAATAATAAATAAAATTATAAATATAATAAATAATAACAATGAATAATAATAATAATAATAATAATAATAGTATAATAATAATAGTAATAATAATAATAATTGTATTAAAGTTTTAGTATGTATTAAAGCAATGAATATAAAATTAAATGTATCACAGTAATATCAATATTTTGTGTTGCAAGTAACTTTACTGCAGTCCTGTACATTATTACGGACACAAAGATAATGCTTTCAGTGGTAGGATTCCTTAAACTTGTGTAATGTCGTTTCCCTGATCATGTTACTAAATTCTAACTTCCAATTTACCTTTAAACAACTATAATTTTAATATTATTATATAGCTTATCAGATATTATGATTTTATGTAGCTTACCTGGTGTGCATTAATTATTTCTGGATTACAAGGAATAGTCTTATAGTACTGAACACAATTACAGTACATAAACCATACTCAAAAGATTTGAGAAGGAAAAGTTTGATCTGATGAAAAAAACCCAAAAAACATGCACTTCTACTCTTTTCCTTTCATTCTATTCTTTTTTTATTTATTGATGGAAAATAAGATCCATAACAAACCTAATAATAATTGAATAGATAAGATTTTTCTTCTAATGATAATAACCTGATGAACATTACCAATGTCATACAAATGATTTTAGACAAACATTACTTCAATATATTAAACTATGCTTTCTCAGTGAATACTAAAACATTCCTGTTTTATAATGGCATCGTTTCTGACAACTAGATTGCCTTTTGTAGAACAATTTATCCTTAATCATAAATATTTTTGTGAATATTTTAAAATTGTCTACAGATTCATGTCAATGCAATACAATTGTTATTCAAACTATTTTATACAAGACAGGTAGTTCAGTATTCAATCAGTCCTCATGTACGTAATCCGGTTCCGCTAAGACCCGCCCTTGGATATTGTTGCCGATGTTGAAAAAAACGATAGCGTAAACGTACATAACATGTGCGCTTGAGGGACAAATGCTGTTTATTGGACAGGCGTGCAAGTATATTTAGAAATTTACCAAAAATTTAAGTTTGGTTGACACTAAAGCTAAGCAACAGGGTCAGTTGTTTAGTAGGTCTACACTTAATTCTAGGCCATATGTAAAAATTATACCAACTTTTAAAGCTTAGGTCTACATGTGGACTTTTAAAAAATCACAAACGTATTTTAGGCTCCTGTCACCAAATACGAAAAAGGTAATTAAAATTAAGCTTGGAATATTTTTTAAAAGAATTACATGCGTTAACTTTCGAGAAGTGAGTTTATAATGATTTACTTTTAAGATATTATCCAAGTAATAATTTAATGGCAATATGTAAATTCTTTTCTGCAATTAAATTATATATTTATTTACTCTTTTTTATTATTTTTCTATATTGAACTGTTCACAATGAGCAATAAAAGATGATCTCCTTCAGAAGATGTTTATGTTTTCTACTCTTTTGATGTTTTTACATTTCATCATTGTTTTACATTTCTAAATTTAAAAACATTTCAGTGGCAGCAATTCAATTTTACATTTTGAATTTTATGGCAGAAAATGTTTAACTACAGTGCACCCTCCAATTCGAGACCACTCTAATTCGAGACCACTTTTCCAAAGACCCAAATAACAATCATCAACCTTTTAACACAAAGCTAGCCCTCTAATTGGAGACCAACCCTGAGACCACCCTAAATTTTCAGGTCCCAAAGGTGGTCTCGAATTAGAGGGCGAACTTTAGGTGTTTTACATTATGTGTAGGCCTAGATAACCCAGCTCTGTTTAGATAAGATCGCGGTCACTATAAAACTAAGCCAATTAGAATGAAAAATACAGAGAAATGATATTACATTACATAAAAGACCTGAATATAGAAGCCAAATAATATTTCAGTATCTTATCAAATTTCTATGTACATAACCCAGTTTGCTAATATATTAACTTTCTGACCATAGACACAAATATTTGGCTATTACTATTATTATTATTATTATTATTATTATTATTAGAGTGTGACTCCAACATATTGCGATATCTATTACATGATAGAGATCATATGCCACAATGCTCGCTTCACTGGTTTCTAACTTTTGTGTCATGCACATAAATATACTAATCTGAAGTTAAAAAGTGAGGGTTTTAAAGTCTGCAATGAAAGAAGGCCAAGATTTTGCCAACAATAGATTTACGGCAATAGATCATACTTTCGTTTTTGTAATGTCAGTACTGCTTTTTACCCAAGTGTTGAGGTGTGGACTAGCTCGTACAGAAACAATTGTCTGTCCACAGCAGGGGCTGAATGGGCCAGTACAAATCCAATCTGCAGACAGAGTGGTGTAGCTAAAGATTTTGGACCCGGGGGAAAGAGTAGAAAATTGTGTGCTTTTGTATTAACAAATAAGTTAATTACATGATCAAAGTTAGCAATGTTGTCTGCTTCATCACGCTCAATACTAAGTAGAGCCAAAGCAGATAGTTTCGCTTTACCCATCATGGCTCTGAGATATGGCAGGATGAGCTTCAGTCATGTAGTCATTACAGAATAGGATAAAAAACAAGAGAAAACGGTCGAAATGGACTGGAAAGAACTACATTCAGATTCTTATTATTAACTAGAAAATATTCATGCCTGACGAAATACATCTATTTTTTTGTATTTTTCTAAAAAGTGCTTATTTTTTACTCTCATTCTCCCATTTCAGCGCCCCCTCAAACCTGGCGCCCGGGGAACATGCCCCCCTAGACACCCCCTAGCTACGCCACTGTGCAGACACTACTGTTTCGATCTTGTTAGATCTCATCAGTGCAGCTCAGGATTTCAACAATGAAACACATGACTGAGTGTTTGGAATTGAAATATTGAAATATTTTCTTCTTCCGGCTGGTCAGCTGAAATAACTGCAAAAAAATGTAAAGAACTTGCATAAGAAACACATCCGTGATGTTTTCAAGGTCAGTTTTATTGGGCAAAGAACATTTAAAACAGTACAGTAATTCAAACTTCAATTACAATTCAATTTAAAGTAACATTTAAAAAAAAAATTCCTTCCAGTTCATATACAAAAAAAAAAAGTACAGAATCATAACAATTCGTTGGAAAAGGAAAAAAGCAGAGAAACAAAAAAAAAAAAAAAAAAAAAAACAACAAGAGGCATGGACAAAACAAGACAAAGAAGACACAGACAAAAGAAATAAGAAAGCAACAATTCAAATTAGACCAGTAAAACCGAACACAATTTAAGTTAAAAAAACAAGAGGGATTAGGACAATTTCTACTGAAGTTTAATAACTTGAATTGATTATTACCAAGAAAATACTGTACATTGGTCTAATTTTAGGCAAATAAAACTCAGTCAAGAAAGTCCAATTTTGAAAGGCAGAATAATGGTATAAATGTTAAATGACATACACTGAGTGCATTATAATAAATAATAAATGCATTCTTATATCAATGTATCTATACGTTGCACATTAATAATCATAATAATAATAATAATAATTCTTTATTTTGTCCTTGTAATGTATGCTACACACTGGGAAATTTGGGCTGGGTCCCCAGGAATCTGCGGCAACTATAGTTCGGCGCCACCTACCCAGCTTAACTACAACATCAAACAGATAGACTGATACAAACGTGGTCCTTAACTCGGCTAACTCTCCTGAGAGGGTTATTCGAAGAACTGAGCATTTTTATTATTATTATTATTAATTCAATACTTAATGCAGAGCCGGGTATCGAACCCGGGTCCTGGCGTGCAAGAGGCACGAACCATACCAATTAGCCAAACACTCAGCTTATTAACCCTGTCATCGGAATTGATGCCAATTACAAAGTCAAATTCTTGTATCCCTTGAATATCTTTTGTCAAAATATTGCAAAGGACTTGTCAGGGGTGGTGCCAGTAGAGACCCAGTGTAATAGGCAAGATAATGCTATGGATTAGCCTGGCCTGGTAAGCAGTACACAATGCTTGGCCAAAGCACTAGTACAGAAGAGTGAACCTGGCAGGAAAAGAACTCATTCATGGCTTAGTTCATATGTTCTAAGATCAGATAACAAAAGGACAAACTTACATTCAGGCTCTACCAGCTGGTTTTCCCCAGATACGATAGATCTTTTCTTCACAGTATGAGGCTATGGCTAATTATGAAAATATAAAAAAAACAACGTTATTGCAGATTAGGTAATCAATGAGGTAACTTTGTACATAACTTCAAATCAGAGTAATTCTTTTTGCTAGAAACCATTTAAAATAGAAATTTCTAACAAATCATCATCTTTCTATTATTTATACCTCATTTGGTCAGTTGCAGAAATTTTATATTAATTTACTCCATAAAAATAGTATAATACATACTCCAAGTATAGAAATGCACCCCATCGTGTCGGGATTCAATATTTCGACATTAATTATATCATCATCAGGAATCCTGATGGCATGTATTTCGATACTTGGAGTATGTATTATACTAGCTTATCTGAGATTAATCAGTGGACCTTTCAGTTTCTGGAAAATTACTCCATAATCATCATCAGTACTTATACATTATGAGAGAACAAGCTAATTTACCAAGTGCAACAGGCTGTTTCATGCATGATGTGCTATTCAAATCTAACTAATGTACTGTATTATTAAATTATATACAGTAATTTAATAATACAGTAGTAGTAGTCTTGCTGCCATAAAGTTTACACCACTATAAATGTACTAATATGCTAAATCAACATCTCTATATGCATGACACAATTACACTTTCAAAACATATCCTATTAAGATAATTAATTAAACATGTACATATTTTATTATCCGTGAATGTGAATAATATTTCTCTATGAGATGTGATCAATATTTGACAAATAACTATGATCAATACTATTATGTCAATAAGCTATAATCAATACATACTTTTCAATATTCTATGACCAATATTTATGATCAATACTCAAAGCCACCTAGAGCAGCCGAGGGTCCTGGGAAAGCTTTGCTGCATTGGTTTATTGGTTGGGGTCTGAGGGACAGCCTACAGTAGGAACCCCGTGGGATCGAGGGGCAGATCCCTGGTTGGGGAGGGGGGTGAAGCCCCCCCCCCACACCGGAGCCTCCCCACCGGAGCTACGGCCTTTTAACGGGTTAGAGGACTATAACTTAATCGATTGTAGAGTGCCTAATTTCACCATGAAAAATAATGAAAGTATAGAAACATGAAAAGTAAAGGCTACAGTATCCTCCTTACTTAGTATTCAAACAAGAGCTGAAAAGATTCATAACATGGTATCAAAGTTTATAGTGGCAGATCCATGAATTTGAAATAAATGTGGCCCAGAGAAGGACTTTCACAGATGGAGGGTCTACTAAGCCCACCTTGGTTGGAGCTTATGTAAGTAAATTTATGACTATGGCACCTCTGGATGGCCGGAAATGGCATTCGAAGACTTAAATATTAGTAGAATTATCTTTTTTTTTTTGTTACATTTTGAAATATTTAGGGGGTGTAGGGGGTGGGAACCCAGCCTCCCCTTAAATCTGCCAATGGTTTAATATTTTAATTCAGTACTTATTTGACAATCAAATCTCTCTCAGGTCTATTCGTATTTCTAACTTGTATTGACGATGTCTAAGCCTTCGATAATTATTTGTTAATAACGTAAAGAATTTACTAATTGATACATTGTAAACATAAACTCTAGCGTAATAATAATAATAATAGATGGATTTATATAGCGCAGATAAACGAGGTCTCTATGCGTTCGGGACTAGATGTTGAACTTTTCAATAACTTTCTCCTCCCGAGGGTCACTCTATGTCCACCGCAGCCCGTAAACTGGGGCACTTTCATCTGTCCACGACAGGGGCTGAGTGAACCAGTACACCAGGGTTACCCCTATTCATCTCGAAAGATGTACTGGGTTCTTTAAAGTGCACATGAGCATTTGTGTACACTGGGCCAACGGTTTATAGTCCTTATCCGAGAAGACTTGTTCCACCAATAGAACTATAGGAGCGAGCTGGCCGCAAACCTGTGCCGATATTGTTGGCTATGATCACGGTACCCCTGTCTTAACCGCTCGGCCATTTGGCTCACTCAAATAGTAGTAGAAGTCATGAAAAAGAATTAGACGCGATTAATTACGAGCTTTCATCGATAAACATTCAGCTTTTATTTATAATTCTAAACACATGAATGACGTTTTTAAAACTTTTATTTATTTAATTTATTATTTTTACCTAATTATCCCGGGCCCCGGGGCATTCGCCCCGGTTACCCGGGCCTTTAGGGGCCACTGTCAATACTTGTCAATATTCTATAACAGTTCTCTGAGATGATCAATACCTGTCGATAAGCTTTGATCAATATTATCAATATGCTATGATCAATAATTTTGTCAATATGCTATGATCTAAACTTCTTTTTAATATGCTGTAATCAATACTTGCCAATAGCTTATCATCAATATTTGTCAATATGCTATCAACACATGTCAATGCTATGACTAATACTTGTCAATAAGCTGTGATCAATACATGTCAATACATTAAGATCAATATTATATATTATGATCAATACATGCCAATATTCTATGACCAATACTTGCCAAAAGCCTCATCACTGTAAATATGCTATGATCAATAGCATAATATAGTATCATCAAATACTAGTTACATAAGTATAAATACTAACAGCATAAGATCAATATAAATTTGTCCATATGCTATCAGGGCCGGCGGAACGTTTTTCAAAGTGAGGGGGGCCCACTTATAAGATGAATGGGAATATGAATCATGCAGATCTGGAATCAAATCTATGTGGTGGGGTCAACATTCCTTCCCCGGGAAAATGTTGATTTCTAGATGCCGGGAAATGACCTTTCTCGCTTTTAAGCTAGGTGTCTAATGACTTTGTTCTTCAAAATTCAAGGTTTTCCCCCTCTTGAAAACGGTAAGGTAAACTTTCTCATTACAGTAAATAGATCTGTTATATGTGTATACATACATTTAAAAAAATGAGTAGTTGCATACGTATTATTTTTTTCATGAATCGATAAATCCCAAAAAGAAAGGGGGGTCCGGGGGTTTTCCCCCAGGAAAATTTTGATTCCTAGAAGGCGGGAAATGAGTTTTCCCGACTTCAGAGGTGTCTTAATTACTTTTAAGTTCTTCAAAATTCAAGGTTTTCCTTTCTTGAAAATTATTATAAGGAATCAATGAACCCAAAGAGAAAAGGGAGGTTCAGGTTCTTCCTGGGAAAATGTTGATTTCTAAATGGTGGGAAATTAACTTTCCCAGGTTCTTTAAAACTCAAGGTTCCCCCTCTTGAAAACGGTCAGGTAAATTTTTCCCATTGTTATTTCAGTAGATATGCCTTATGTGTGTATATATACACACAAAAATTGAGTAGTTGCATACGATTTCTTTTTCCATGAATCGATAAATCCCAGGAAAGGGGTGGGGGGTACTGTAGTTCTTCCCCGGGAAAATTTTGATTTCTAGGTGGCGGGAAATGAGCTTTCTCGACTTCTGAGGTGTCTTTTAATGACTTTCAAATTCTTCAAAATTCAAGGTTGTCCCCCCCCCCTCTTGAAAAGGATTAAATTAATCAATGAACTCCAAAGATAAAGGGGGTCCGGGTTCCCCTGAGAAAATTTCGATTTCTAGGTGGCGGGAAATGAGCTTTCCGGACTTCTGAACTGTCTTTCAATGACTTTTAAAGTTCTTAAAAATTCAAGGTTTTCCCCTCTTTAAAACAGTCAGGTCAATTTTTCTCATTTTTTATTTTATGTGTGTATACATACATAAATAAATGAGTAGTTGCATGCATATTCTTTTCCATGAATCGATAAATCCCAAAAAGAATGGGTGGTCCGGGGGTTCTCCCCCGGGAAAATTTTAAAGTGTGTTTTAATGACTTTTATGTTCTTCAAAATTCTAATTTTCTTGTCGTAACAAAAAAAATAATTTTCCCATTGCAACAAAAAAAAAATCAGCTCACAGGTCCTGAAAAGGTAGGTCTAGAATTCTTTTCTTTTTCCCTTTTTTTGTTGCCCAAGGGAGAAGTCAGGACCCATGACCCCCCCCTCCTCCAGATCCGCCAATGTGAATTGCGAGAAAATGTAACTGGGTCGGGTACTAGATAAACATTCTCTTTCCCATCCTTCTCCCCTCCTTCTTTTCTTGCATTTCCGATCATACAAAAATCTCCAGGCATTACATATTTTTTTGCCAAAAAGTGGGAGGGGGGGGGGGGCCCCGGCCCCCCGCCATGGCTATGATCAATATTTTCCAATAAGCTATGTCCAATATCTGTCAATTGATTAGGATCAATATTAATATACTAAGATCAATACTTGTTAATCTTACTACAGGTCTCCCTCCAAATATAGACCACTTTTGGGACCAGGGTTTTCATGGTCTTTAGCAGCTTTAATCTCTAATTAGACTAATAAAAATAAAAGACATTTGTTAATTTGGGACCATGGAAAAGTGGTCTTTAATTGGAGGTGATCCTTAATCTTTAATTAATCTGTACTAACTTTTAGGACGACTTCTTACTGATTTTTGTAAAATTTATGCACAGTATTTTAGAAGGATACACATTCCTAAATTAATTTACAAAAGGACTACTAGAAAATACAATTGAATTGTGAATCTAAGGTACCTTTTTCAGATGCAGCACTGATATCCACTTTTATGATTTCATCTGACCATTTCAATTGGAAATAATACAGTACACCAACATCGCCAGCTTCTATGCCTTCTGTCAGGAATCCCCAACGCCATATCTGGTGAGATAATGTTTGTTTCAGAATGATCTCACAGGATTTTAAAAACACCTCATCGATGGTGTGGCCATGATCTGCGTCAAGGTCTAAGTTGAAATTCAGGTGGTGCCCCATTTTTTTTAAAATGGCCTGCCAATAGTTTGACATTTGCTTTTCCACATTTTTCAGAAATGAAGGAAAAATGTAAATTTTTTCTTCCTTCAATTTGTTCCAGGTTGGCAATACTATTTTCAACTGATGTGAAAGAGCTGCATGACAGTCTAAAAGAGAAAACAAGTACACCTTTTTAAAAATATTTTATATTTTATTAATTGTATTTACTGTACTACTAAATTTTTATATAATGATTTATCTGTTATTTTTTATAGAAATAATAACATAAAAATGAATACCAGTGTCATTTCGAACTGAAACCAAATCTGCCCAAAACCTCCAATAACTTGGCGTAGCAGAAAACTTGGATGAAAAATAACTCAAAATAACCCAATTTTTTATGGTATTTCATGTATTCTTTAGTCAATGCAGATTCTTAACAGATTTTTTGTTGTAAAAATACTACCCTAAAGTGTCGAAAAATTCATTTACATTCTAGGGAAAAGATTTTTTGGGGAGGGAGTGGGGCGCACCTTTGTACACCCTAAAGCAGAAGAGTTATTAAAGCAGTCTCATGCCTGAAAATTTGTCTTGGAATCTCTTAGAAGCTTATGAATAGTAGATGTCAACTTCCACACACATGAAGGTAGCACTATAATATTTAGGCTGTCTCATTCTAAGTGGGTTGCTATTGCAGACTCTTGCGAGTTTATTGACATGTTTGCAAAATTAAATCATCGGTAGACTAATGTGCAAAATTTATGTACTATACATCTATCAATGAGATAAATGTAAATCTAATGTTCTATCATAAAAATATTATATACCATTACGTTTATTTATAGTTGTTGAAATATATATTCATCCAGTTGGGACGGAGAATAATTTTTTTTCAAGTGGGCAATTGATGACCTACAGTTCAAAAGAAAGGGGAGGAAGGAACTTTGGACCAAGGAGTGCGTTAGGTTGTTCTCTTATCTATTGTGGGAAAACAGGGACAATACCCCTAACAGTTTTGAGTTTTAATAAAAATTTTAACCTAAAAGATTTCACAATTGCTTAGAGACTTTTGAAAGCTGCAAAGGAGAGGAGTTGAGTTGAGAAATTCCACTTTTGCCATCACTGTTATTTTCATCTGTCTTGGTGGTGGGAGTAACATGGCCAGTTGGTAACAGTGGCTCATACAGTACATACTTATCTATTGTACATACGGTATTTTTTTTTGTGTTTGTTGGAACACAATTAAACATCAAATTTCATACCATACTCTATGACAGTTGTTTTAAAATCTTCTCGCTTAATAAGGTTAAAACTTTCCAAGAGTTCTTTCTTGGCATCAACACCCCTTCATTTAACACTCTGCTTCCAAGATTTCAGGGTATGGAGAATTACTTCTTCAAACTTCCCTTGGAACTGGGCAAATGCGCTGTTGATCTCAGTCTTGGAGATTCCTAATTTGCTGCTTAAATCCAAAAATGAGTCTTTGCTGTGCAGACTCTTGGCAATGATTTGTAAAAGAGATGTTGGAAGGTCATCATTTATTTACAAAAAATGTACAAAAAAATTACATTACATTTTTTTTTTTAAAGTAATATAAAGTAAATGACAGCAGCACTTCTGAGACAATATAGATTTTATTCTCTAGGTTTCATCCACACAATTTTTTAAAGTAGAATTTGTGTTACAGAGCAAGTTTTCTTTTTTGGGGAATAGCTAGTCACCTATTTCATATTAAATATTATGAGTAAAGAGAGTAAATTTTGTATAGCAGTGCCAGCACCACAAGTACTGGCACACTATAAATGTGCAATAACGTCATTGGATTTTCTACTAACAGCAGAAAAGCCATTTTTGTGCCTAATTTTTTCCCTTGCTTCTTCAATCTCATTTTTCCAATGTTTTTGCACGGGGTTTTTTTACCATCCACATTTGTCACTTTCCGCACTTACGCATTTCTACCTCTTTTTGCCCTCAAGTTATTAAAGCAGGCAATTTTGTCTTAGCGACAGAATACAAACAGACTGAAAATCCACTGGGCTTCTCAGGGTTGAATTCTATAGTGTAATAGTTAGAGCCACCTTACCCTTAGTCTTGGTAACGTCAAGTATTTCCAAATAACTTTTCAACTTCATAATATTAAACATCATTTCTAATTATTTCAATGCCAATAACACAAATATATGATAGTTCCTACAAGGAAAACAAATGTACAATACAACAATAAAAATATTCATTATTAACTGATTTTTTTTACCGTTGAAGGGCGAATTTTGCTGTAGAACATCAGTAGCCAGCTGGGGCCAATGTTCCTCCTGAAGAGTCACTCCTGCATTCAAACCTTCCTGGATCTCCATTACTTTGATATCAGGAGTAGAAATAGTCACCTCTTTACAAACATCAAAGTGTGCAAGGGTTGTGACAATCATATTGATGTCCTCTTTGTCTTCCACTACACCCTTCAGAATCCGTCTAACAGACTCCATATTCATGCAGCCACGAGAGTTATACATCTGGGAAGCTATCACATAAGTGACATCATCTTCTGGAACTGGATTTAGCCGCCACCTTGGTTTATAAGCCTTCATAAAAGCCTCTTTGTGGTCTTTACTCAATATAATTTTTATGGCTTTAATCAACAATGCAGGATTGGCACAAATAAAAGTCTTCAGGAGATGGCGGCCCTCATGCCACAATATGGAACCAACACATCTCAAATACTTCAGAAAAGCTTTCATATCGTCTTGACTTTGGAAGTCCATTTGCATCAACATATCAGATACGGTTTTGAATGGAACCCAGAGAGCTGAAATTCAAAATTTAGTAAAGGAAAAATCATACAGTATATACTGTAGAACCATAAGTACTGAACTCTGTAGGAAGATTTTGTAAATGCTCCTTTGACTAGGATTTTAATATTTTCTTCTTTTAAAAATATTTTTCACTAATATATTTTTGTATTTAGGTCAACAAATTGTTGTGTTGTGCAAACACAGTGGCATTTGAATATCAGCGCTACTATAAGCTTAGGCCTTAACTTAGAGCTCCTATGTTTTTTCTAAGACATAAAAAAGTTATTTGACTAAAAATGGGGAATGGTGAATGAGATACAGATTTTTTATAGATATTTAAGAACTGGGGGTGAAAAGGTGTAAAAAAGAGCAGTTACGCCCCTTTCCCCCCAGTTTTTAAACATTAAAAAATCAATCTCTAAAACAAGAGCAGTAGCATACTTACCTTGAAGGCTAAAACATAACATAAACACAAACACAAGGATTGTTGTCAACTGAACCTAACAACCATTTGTACATTTGTATTATTCTCCCATGCTGCCATGAGTTTTCATGTTAATATAATAATGCTCTTTCATTGCAATCTTTCCTGAGCCAGATCAACTCACATCACTCCAATCTAATTCTTATATGGCATCACTCTCCCAAAATACAGTAGGTACAAACTGTCTAAACCACTATAGTTTTCTCTTCAGTATACAATTCCCAACATCAACTGTTATTACTTGCTGTTCTCCCAACTCCTCAGATGATCTCCTATCCTTCAATGTTCTATTATACTTAGCGTACCATCCTTGCACTCCAACATCACCGACTTTACAGCCAAGTTATAAATTGCAAAAATGACCTCCAATTCTTTAATGTTATACTGCACATCCAATGTGGCATTCTTATCTCATTGGGCTCCAACCTCACCAATTCATCCTACAGGATTTTACTGTCCAGTTCTCACTAAAATACAAAACAACACTCCTGACACATACTTCGAACAAGTTACCGTTCACATGAACAAAAAGAAAACTGTTACAGAACATCAAAACACTCCAAATATAAAGAAACACGCCTAAATAGATCACGGTCATTCGATAGTTGATTTTGTATTACGTGACATAAGTAATTATACCATTTTGTCACTTATCATAACAATTTAGTTCCGCCAAGTATTTTTAGTTATATCCATGCATTTTTGTTCCACCCATTTTGCTCCAAGGTGCATGCCTCAACCTAATTCAATCTTTTCATTAGTTAAAAAGATGCTAGACTGTTCCATTTAGAAAAAAGTAGAATTTTTTGAAAAAATATCAAATGACAAAAATCAAATGACAATTTTAGGTGTTTGAATGGAACAGTCAATCTTTCATTAATATATTTCTCCTATTGCTTTCATATTCATTATTTGTATACAAATAAATGACATATGTAATATAGTTCCACAATAACTAACAGATGCAGATGTACCAATTCGTATTTTACATATATCCAAACCTGTTTTTTGCTGAGCATTAGTTGCTTGGTTGACCTTTCTGTAAGCCAACAAAGGTTGCTCCGCATTCTTCCAGTGAACAGGCCTATACTGTCCTCTTTCTGGAAATAGGCTTCTGTCCAAAAGACATCTTGTTACCTCATCTTTCAACAGATCAAAGCTGTCAATAGTTTTGTTGACAGATCCTTTCATTAAATGCAACAACTTATTCTGAAATTTATAAAAATAAAACCAGAATTATGATGAATGTTGCATTATCCTT